CCTTAGAGCACTGTGGCCCACACTAAGGACGGAACAGGACCAAACTTGGCACACAGAGGCCCAATGGCCCACTTTACAACCTGGTGCAGTTTAGGGCAGGATGGGCCACAAATGATGGGATTTGCAGTACCATCACCCGATTCACTTCCCACAGAACATTGTAGCCCCTACAAATCACAGACCAGGTCCAAACGTGGCACACAGAGTACTCATGACCCACTCTACACCCTGATGCAGTTCTAAGGGGGATGGACCATGGATGATGGGACTTGCAGTACCTTTACTCACTTACTGAAACCACTGCGACCCTCATTAATGACAATTGGCACAAAGAGTCCCCATGACCCACTCTACATCCTGCTGCAGTTTGGAGGAGGGTGGACCATGGATGATGGGACTTGCAGTACCTTCACTCAATTACTGAAACCACTGCAACCCTTATCAAATGACTGATCAAGACCAAACTTGGCACACAGAGCCCCCATGACTGACTCTATATCCTGCTGCAGTTTGGAAGAGGGTGGACCATGGATGATGGGACTTCAAGTACCTTCACTCACTTCCTAAAAACAATGCAACTGTCATCCAATGACCAATAAAGACCAAACTTGGCATACAGAACCGCCATTACCCACTTTCTCTAATAACCCGGGCAGCGCCGGGTCCCCAAGCTAGTAAGTAATAAATAAGTTAATCCCACCCAGATCAAAGGGTAGAATAAATTACAAGGGAAAAGATACACAGAGAAAGGCAAACCAAGGAGACAGGATGGTTTGTAGACCTGGAAGATGGTGGTGTAACTGTATCCTTCTGCCCTCCTCGCTGCTTAGTGTTTGAATTTTTAGAAAGTTAAACTAGAATAGTTGGGGAATAATTTACTGACCACTGCCCAATGAGTTAGAGTATTTTTAAAAAAGAATCCCAACAGGATATCTGCATTTGGTGTCATAATGTTGGGCAGTAGGAGGTCCCTACATTGTGTGGCATTGGTGGGGCACAGTTCTCATGGTTGCTCTCATTCTCACACTAACACACCAGTTGAAAGGCCATTCATGAAGAAAAGATGGGGATTCAGCAAAACCTGCTGCTGCAGAAAGATGGAATTCCATTTGTGCTGCAAAGCGCTCAAAGAGGGGAGAAAGAAGATTTTGAGCACTTTATTCTGACCATTGAAATGGCAAGGTGGCGTCATATGTTGTTCATATTTCTATGGTACAATCAGAGAGGATTAGCTTGTCATACTGTGTGCATCTGTCCCAAAAAAAGAGGAAAGCATCTAGACACCACAACCCTTTCTTGCCCCTAACAACTGGTCTCTTGTTTCCTTTGTTTTTCAGAAAGCGATGAAGGGTTCAGCAGCACGGAAGAAGGTAAGTGTTCAGAAAGAGCAAGAAAGGTGGGTGGGGTGGTCTGCAACCCTAGGAGATGGCAGCATAGCCGTGTCTCTCCACCATCCTCTTTGCTTGAATTATAAAAGAGTTAAACCAGAGTAGATGGCACATGAAGTAAGAAGTCAAGAAATATGAAATAATCTACAAGACTCTGGAAGGAAGAGGTGGTAAACATAGAAGTGATAAACATAGACAATGAGAGTGACGTTTCCAACTAGAGACTCAGGAGGTGGCAGATGGTAATTTTGTCAGTGCTGATTGTGTTTAAGTGCAGGCCAAGGTCTTTAGGCACTGCACCCAGTGTTCCGATCACCACTGGGACCCTCTTCACTGGCTTGTGCCAGAGTCTTTGCAGTTCAATCTTTAAATCCTCATATTGTGTCAACTTTTCCAGTTGTTTCTCTTCACTCTTGCTGTCACCTGGGATTGCAACATCGACAATCCATACTTTGTGAGGTCAGGAGTATTGTGCTATATTATTATTATTATTATTATTATTATTATTATTATTATTATTATTATTATTATGCCATATCTCCATGCTGTGCAGTCCTGGAAGTCATAGTTTTCCAAAGTCCATATCCTTCTCTTGGTGCATTTACAGTATGGAATGAATGCCCTTGCACCCACTTTAAATGTCATGACTCCATGCAATGGAGTGCTCGTGGGAGTTAGTTTCCCAAGATTCTCTTGGTGCATTTACACTATGGAAGGAATGCTCTTGTACCCCACTTTAAAAACCATAGCTCCATACTATGTCGTCTTGGGAGTTACCGTTTTCCAAGATCCACACCCTTTTCTGTGGGGCAGCCAAGAGAGAGGGAGGGAGAGAGCATATCTGCTTTTCCTTGCTCCCTCCCGGGTTTTCAACAATGAGCAGGGAGAGGGATGTGAAAGAATATTGAAAGGAAATTGAGAGACATTTAACAGTGTGATAGGAAAAACATCCATTTCATTAAATAACTGAGTAAGACTGAGCTCTCCTTTGCTCTCCTCTACCACACACTTCCCTGCCTAATGTGATGAAGTGGTGGGAGGATTAAAGACCTGAGACATGGTGAAGAACAAGAGGGAAGGAGCTCTGAAATAACAATAAAAGCCAATTATAACTGAAGAAATGAAAATACTTCAGAAGAATTTGAAGGCAGTCAACAATGGATGGAAATTCCAGCAAAAATTTTGGTATGAAAAGAAGCCCAGCTACATATATTCATTGGATCAGATTCAGTTTCTTCTTACAGTAAGGTTCTCAGAGAGAGAAAAAGACCTCACAACCTCTGAGGATGCTTGCCATAGATGCAGGCGAAACGTCAGGAGAGAATGCTTCTAGAACATGGTCATATAGCCTGAAAAAACCTACAACAACCCAGAGAAAAGGATGTTTTGGAGCAGTCTTTATGGTGGGCATTGAAATGGCAATGCTATGAAAGCAGTGAAGATTGTTTATTTAGAACATCTAGAATCCCTAAGCATTTCCTGCCTGAAAAACTGACCCCCTGTCTTCTCTTTCCTTTTCAGCAAGTGAGAAAGGTTCCCGTAACTCCGAGGAGCATGTGTGTAAGTGAACCCTCGCTCAAAGAGATGAATGGCAACAGAAAGAGACATACAGTAGAGTCTCACTTATCCAACTTAAATGGGCCGGCAGAACATTGGATAAGTGAAAAAGTTGGATAATAAGGAGAAATTAAGGAAAAGCCTATTAAATGTCAAATTACATTATGATTTTACCAATTAAGCCCCAAAACATCATGTTTGACAACAAATCGACAGAAAAAGCAGTTCAATGCACAGTAATGTTACGTATTAATTACTATATTTACGAATTTAGCAGCAAAACATTGCAATGTATTGAAACAGCTGTGGATCTGGTTGAGAGGCAGACTGTGTTGAATAATACAGAATTTGGATGAGTGAAGGTTGGATAAGCGAGACTTTACTGTAGAATGAAAGGTTACACTTCTAAGTCAAAAGTTCTCTTGGATCCATACCATTCCCTGAAACTTTCTCTCCTAACTTTGAGGTCTAGACAAGAGAAAGAAAAACACTCTCTCTCCTATTTGGGTGTTCTGCCATCTTCTTGTTCACCAGATGGACTCTATACAGCCAGTTCTCCCATATCCACAGATTCTATATCCACATGGCTTCAAAATAAATTCCAAAAAATATACATAGATTTAACGGTTTTATATAGGAACACTATTGTATTTCATCACATAATAGTCACATCCCCCTTTTAGGGAAGGCAAAATTGGCACTGGTTGTACTCAGATAATAGTCATACCCTTGATTATGTCAGCTGGTGAATTTGTGGTACAGATGGAGGAGTAGTCAAATGGTACTTGGGAACATCCAAATAATGGTGCAACTGTCTTTTTTGGTGGTGTGGCTCCATAGCACAAAAAGGGAAGAAGGGCAGCTGGGCAGGAGGATGAATTCAGTTCTCTGCCTGCCCTCTTTCTCTTTAGGCAAGGGAGCATCAGCGTGGGTAGGTGACACTTCATCCAGCCACTCAGGTTCTCCCTTTGAGGGCAGAGGCACATGGTAGGGGGAAGCATCACCCAACTGCACAGCTGCAGTCTCACAGGAACTATTATGTGGTGAAAGAAGCCCCTCAAAAGGGGAGTTTTTCACTGCATAATAGTTGTCACCACATAATAGTCACACTCCCCCCCCCTACACACACACACATGTTTTGGGTGGAGGAGGGTGAAATCTGGTATTTTAATATGCCCTTGTATATAATAAGACTTGAGCATCTTCAGATTTTGGATTTGGAGATGAGCATCAAGCCCCAAAGTCGAACACAACTGGACTTAATGTCGGGGGAAAAACCTTTACTTAACCTACTATGCCCTTGTACATAATAGGACTTGAGCATCCTCAGATTTTTGTATCTACAGGGGTCCTGAAACCAAACTCCAACAGATAGCAAGGATATCAAGGATCCACTATGCTGGGGACTGAAAGGCACTGCCCAGCATTCACCTGGCATCTCAGAACCAAAGAATGGCTGGAGCCTGAAATAAGATCCATAGAAACCCCTGCAGGTGCCATGAAGCCAGCCAATAGGGAACAGCTTGCTGCCAAGTTTGGTCAACTCCCAGAGAAGATTAAGATGCCTCCTTGGTTCCATCCCCAGACAACCTGCTTGCTTTCCTTCCTACAATGCAGCTCTTAGGCTCTCCTTACATGCTTCTATGAGTAATACACTTTCCCTTCTCTCTCTTTCCAATAGCATTGTGGCCATCTGGCAGTTCTGGCAGCATCGAAACAGGTAAGTTGGGAGCAGGGGGTAGTGGGGAGAAGAGGGTCAAGCCTTGAGACAGAGAATTCAATGTCCAGAACTTATTTGGTGGACAAATATCTCCTTCCAGAGGCCCCCTCAGTCTTGAAGGAAAATAAGTTCAGAAGAAGGAGAGTGGTGCTGTGTCAAAGGGCAGAGGTGTATTCGTGATATAGGTGGAGGGGTGTTCAAGTGGGACTTGGAAATGTCCACTGAAATCCTCAGGGAAAGGGGAGAGAGGGAAATGGGTGCCCTTCAGGAAAAGAGGAGCCCTTGCCTTTCCTGCACACTTCCTTTTGTAGGGAAAGAAAACAGCCTCGGCCTTACACACCTCACCATTGTGCACGTAGCAGATCATGAGGCAGCACGTAAACGTTTCCTGCTCTTGGGACTTCAAGAGCAGAATTTAAAAAGGATTCATTCTCTAGTGTGATGCGGAGTCTAGTCCTGGAATCCCTCCCCTCTCTTTATTCCATGCCCTCCATAAAGACTGCTCCAAAAATCCGTATAGAGACAGTCTTTATGGTGGGCATTGAAATGGCAAGGCCCCACAGTTTTATCTCTGAAAGCAGTGGGGACGGATTATGTGTACACATCTGCCCTGAGGAAAATATCTCGAATCCCTTAGTATTCCCTGCCTAAAAAAATGACCCCCTTGTCTTTTCTTTCCTTTTTCAGTACATGAGAAAGATTCCCATAACTCTGAGGAACGTACGTGTAAGTAAACCCTTTCTCAAAGAAATGAGTGACAAAGGAAAGAGACATAGAAGGAAAGTTGACACTTCTAAGTCAAGGGTTCTCTTGGAGCCATACCATTCCCTGAAACAATTGCCCAAAACTTCCTCCTCACCTTGTTTGAAGTCTAGACAAGAGAAAGGAAAACTCTCTGTCTCCTAGCTGGGTGTTCTGCCATCTTCTTGTTCAGGAGATGAATTCTATATACAGTCAGTCCTCCCATATCCACAGATTCTATGTCCACGGATTCCACACGGTTTCAAAATAAATTCCAAAAAACAAACATTGATGTATCCGTTTTATATAAGGGACACTAGCATATTTCATCACATAATAGTTGCATCACCCCTTTTGAAGAAGGTGAAATAGGCACTTTAGTTATCCTCGCATAAAGGTCGCACCCTTAATTCAGTCACCTGGTACGTGAATTAAGGGTGCCACTGCTTTTTTGGCACTGTGGGAAGAAGGGCAGCTGGGTGGGAGGAGGAATTCACTTCTCTGCCTTCCTACCCTCTTTCCCTTTAGGCAAGAGAGCAGCAGCATAGGCAGGTGATGCTTCACCCACCCACTCAGGTGCTCCCTTTGAGGGCACAGGTGCATGGGAGGGCCTTTTTCACTGCATAATAGTCGCCACCGCATAATAGTCTCCCCCCTCCCCCCAATGTTTTGGGCAAGGGAGGGTGATGCCCTTGTATATAATAGGACTTGAGCATTCTCAGATTTTGGTGTCTACGGGGCCCCTGAAATCAAACAACAGCAGATATCAAGGGTCCACTCTACTGGGGACTGAAAGGCACAGCCCAGCTCTCACCCAGCATCTCAGAACGGCTGGAGGCTGAAATGAGAAACCACTGCAGATGCTGTGAAGCCAGCCAGTAAGGACACAGCTCATTGCCAAGCTTGGCCAGCTCCCAGAGAGGATTGAGATGCCTCCTTGGTTCCATCCCCAGACAACCTACTTGCTCTCCTTACTACAATGCAACTCTTAGGCTCTCCTTACATGCTTGTATGAGTAATACGCTTTCTCTTCTCTCTCTTTCCAATAGCATTGTGTCCATCTGGCAGTTCTGGCAGCATGGAAATAGGTAAATTGGGGGCAGGGGTCAGCGGGGAGAAGAGGGTCAAGCCTTGAGACAGAGAATTTGATGTCCAGTCCTTATCTGGTGGACAAATATCTCCTCCCAAACTCACGGAGGCCACCTCAGTCTTGAAGGAAAACAAGTTCAGGAGGAGGAGAGTGGTGCTGTGGCCCAGGGCAGAGGTGTTTTTGTGGTACAGATGGAGGGGTGTTCAAGTGGTACTTGGGGACATCCACTGAAATCCTCAGGGAAAGAGGAGACAGGAGAAGAAGAGCCCTTGCCTTTCCTGCTCACTTCATGTTGTGGAGGAAAAAACAACCTGCACCTTATATCGCCTCACTGTGTGGCACATATCAGATTTTGAGGCAGCACATAAATGTTTCCCGCTCCTAGTCCTGCAATCTGTCTTCCCTTTATGCCGTTGAAGACATTCTGAGGTCCTTGAGTCTATATTGAGAGAAAGGGGCAATAAAAGTACACTCGATAAAAATGCATCTGGAGCCTGTGGGTTTCTCCTTCATGTGTTATACTCAACTCTGGTGACAAGGTCATTTGGGCTGGGAGAAAACCCAGAGTCTAGTTCTGCTGTATTCTACTAAGGACATGCACCCTTTTCCTGCTACAACTCCCAAATTTCTCTGTTTGCTGATTGAGGCTCCCTTAGCCTGGATCTAATTCATTGGGTTTCATTCTCCTGCCCTCATTCTAAAACATTTCCCTATTTTGTCTCTCTGCAGTGTAACTGGCTGGTCTGCCATGTAAAGAAGAGAGGAAGAGTGGATCCGACGCCTACGTATTGGATTTTGTTGAACCTTTTCAAGATTTCTTCAGGGCTTTTCACTTGATGTCGGAATATTTGTACTGCAGAGACTTGGGCCTGAGGCAGAAGTTGACTCTTTTGCCATATGAGTGCCAAGAGTCTTAGAGAGGTGTTTCCTCAGGTTTAAAACGTGACAATTATGTAATGCATATATTTTCACTTTCATGGTGTCTTATGCCTCTAACCCCAGAGAAAACGGGGCTGATTGTAGAGGTGTTCTCAAATACCAGTGTGAATTGAAATAGATAGAGAGTAGAGATAAGGCACTTCCAGAGGGTGTATCTATACTTTGGAATTACTGCAGTTTGACAACACTTTAACTGCCATACCTGAATGCTATGGAATCATAGGAATTTTTGTTTTGCCAGGGCTTTAGCCTTTTCTACCAAAGACTGTTTCTGCCTCTCCAAACTCCAAACTCCAGACTATATAGCCTATATTTTCAAAGTACAGAGTCCTAACATTTTGGAGAAGTATGATCTTTGGAAATCATGATCTTGTTAGAAGTCATAACCTTTTGGAAAAATGATGCCATAACCTTTTGTGAAATGGAAATCTCCATAACCTTTTGGAAAATGGCGTTCACCACCAATTTGGGAAAATCAGGGATCTCCCTAAGGAGAGTTAAAAACTCACTTGAGTCAACCTTCTCCTTAGTGGTCAATATGATGGCGAGCGCAGCTGGTAGCCCCGCCTTTACCTTGGTATGAACTGCAGCAGGGAGTTCCGCAGTTCCTGGACCAAGCTTTTGAGGCAAACAGATTAAATGTGCCCCAGCCGCTAGCTCAAAGACCAGGAATGCCTGCAGATTCAACTAACCTTCCCTTTCCCTTTACCTTGTATCTTTCCCCCAATAAAGTGCTTGAAACTCGCAACTTTCTATCTCTCCGCATGTTACTTTGTATCCTTTCCTGACTCTAACTCAATAACATAGGGCTAATATCAAGGCTGGCTGCCATCTCCTTTTCTTCGTTTCGGGCTGCTCCACCTGAGGAAAAATCAGTTTTGCTTTGAGTATTTCTGTCCCGCAGAGGAACGGCTGATTGTCAGTCTGGCTAGGTTCCCCGCTTCTCCGCGGCAGAGCCCGCTCCCTGGTGATCCCGGCAGCCTGGGACTCGCGGCGATGGCCAGCAGGAGCCCCGAGGAAGGGGCCAGGTGGCTCCCAGGCCATCGCTGGAAGACATAGTTTTCCGAAGGACATTGCCCCACACCCCTCCGCCTGGAAGTCCCCTTACAGATTCTTTTGCCTTTACTTATTGACTTGATGCCCCATCGTCTTGGACCTTCTCCACGGACTCCGAACCAGGCCCCTTGGCAGGAACAGCCTCCGCCTGCGTGTGCACCTTCACCAAGGAGATCATAATTCTGGCAGAAATGAAATGCTTTTACTATCAATTATTATTGTCCTTAATAAACCTTGCTGGGATAGGGATGGGGATCCATTATGAAATGTATGAAATGTATGA